ATTTATTAATTGGTTTGCACACATCTTTAGAATATCTAGATTATTAAACATATTTTCTGGGCTTAAATATACTTCCAATACCCTCGTTCAGTGTAAGTAATAGAACTGGGAAACTGTTCCTGGTGTAACACCGTTGTTTAAGAATGCTATAATAAATTATATGGTACATTACATAAATTAATTTTAAAAACTCTCTATTTTATGGATTTGAAGTTGTAGAATAGATAGATAACTTAACCATTATTTACACAGTATTTCTCTTCTAGAGCAAACAAAACAGTGTGCTCCACCTCCTCAACTCCTAAATGGGGAAGTTAAAGAAACACAAAAAGAAATCTATGAACACAATGATTTGGTGGAATATGTTTGCAATACTAGATTTCTGATGAAGGGTTTTAATAAAATTCAGTGTGTTGACGGACAATGGACAGACTTGCCTATGTGTATTGGTAATGTATAAAAAATACTCATATTTAAACAGAAATCAACACTCTGTATTCATATAAACACATAAGTTGCATTTTGTAAGTAAACATATTTTTGTGAAATTTTCTCAGAGGTGGAGAGTACATGTAGAGAGATACCTGAACTTCATTACGGCTCTGTTGTTCAGTCTTCTTTCCCTCCCTATCACCATGGAGATTCAGCAGAGTTCAATTGCATGGAAGACTTTACAATGATTGGACACAAGTCAATTACATGCCTTAATGGAATGTGGACCCCACTTCCTCAGTGCATCGGTGAGAAGACACTTCTCAAATTGACAGTCAATGAAATTTAGCATTTTATTTTATAAAAGCTGTATTTGCTAATATATTTTTGAAATTTAAGTATATTCTTGAAAATGTCCCATTGCAGGGGGACCTGGGTGGCTCAGTCAGTTAAGTGTCTGCCTTCGACTCACCTCTTGATCTCAGGATCCTGGGGTTGAATCCCCACATCAGGCTTCCTGCTCAGCAAGGAGTCTGCTTCTCCCTCTCCCTCTGACCCTCCTACCCTCCTGCTCTCTCTCTCTCTCTCTCTCAAATATGTAAATAAAATCTTATTTTAAAAAGTCAGTTCTTAAATTATAATGAAGGCAGACATTGCTTATAGCTCATTATAAGTCTACAAATTAGCAATAGAATTTTATCAGTATTTCTGTCCCTGATATTAACATTGTTTATAAGTATGAAGCTAAATTTTACTCATGGTTATTCATATGATTTAAATATGAGTACTAATTGCCAGGAAAATAGAACACTTTTGTTTTTAGGTGGTACTCTTAATTTCAAACCCTGGAAAAAGGAAGTTAATACCCACTGCTACATTCCTATAGGAATCTTGCCTTTCTCAAAGTCTCTAACAATTTCCCAATCTGTTTCAAATGCAACAAGTTAACGTGCTGAGGGTGAGTGGGCCGCAGGCCCTCTCAATCAGTAGGAGAACTCCTCAAAAGAGGCAGTCAGGGTTAGGCCAGGAAACAAATCTGATGGATGACTTCACTCAGGTTGATGTATGTAAATCATCCTGACCTTTGGATGACCAAGTCTTTTATGACTAACATGGAAAATATTGGGGACCCTTTTCATTTTTCTCTTGGAATGAGTTCTTTCCTAGAGTTTTCCTAAGTCCTACATTCAAAGAGAGCTCTGAGTGTCCCATCTTACTTATTCATCAGATTTCTAGACATTAATTGTTCCAAGGAGAAGGCAGGGCTTAGGCACACCGTCCATGAGAGCAGAGATTTACTCCTCTTTTGTTCATGTTGTATTCCCAGTACCCAAAAGACTGGCAGACATACAGCACACATTAAACAGAAGTCTGTTGAATGAATCATAAGTTTTGTTGTTTATTAATCCTTACGTTTTTGCTAAACACATTCCCATTGGAAGTACTGTCAGTCCTTTAAGACCAAACCTCATCTTTGTCCTCTTCTATCTCCACAAATGATCACCCCTTATTTCACATCAAGGAAAACCCAAAGTTCTAACAGGCATGAAAATGCTCAACTTTTCACTCTTATTCTAAATTATCTGCTTCAATTATTCTTCTTTTCTGATCTCAGAGTTTGCCTTCCGAAGGTTAATCTTCTACCTATATTCAGCTTAACATAATCCCCTTACACCTATCATAGACCTTACTCCAATTTTCTTCATTCAGTATTAATATCATACCTCCAGCTAATCTAGTTGTTCACTCTTCGAATTATTTTCTCCTAATAAACAAGGAAATTCTTTCAGAAACCAGTCAGTCATAGGGCAACGACAACAACCACCACTCCTTTTGTCCCTCAGTTACCATCACCTGAACACCTTGTTTTGTCTCCCTCAACATTGTGGACAAGCCTTAAAAACAGGACTAATTCTCAGCCTCTAGTGTGTTTTGAATTAGTCTCCTTTGTTTTATTTTTTATTATAAATCTTTACTTCTTTGGCTAACCTTTAACAAATCATTAACAAAGACCTACATCAACTCATATTTTATCAAATGCAAAATGTACTTTGATCTGCACTGAATTTTGGAAATATGTATTTATATAAAAAGTTGGTATATTTAACTCAGAGTCAGTAAAAATGTACTATTATAGCATTATAATATTGAATTATAGGGTGATCTGGTATATAAAATAGCTCTTCAAAGATTATAAGAATATAAATAGGAAACAGGTTGTGGCTTTTAGAACTCAATTACTTATTCCAATAATCTGTTCCTATTTTTTAGCCATCATGCAGAAGATCTACTTAAATATTCACATTCTGTAAGAGACATCTTAGCTGTACTTTTCATATTGTATTACACTACCTTTATTGAAAAAATATATTTAAGCTAGCAATTTCATATATTCTACTTCCACAGATAAATGTGGGACCAAATGTAGTCAAGGTGATGACTGTTCAGTATGTAGATCATCCTAAAAAGTGAGCCTCTTACACTTTTCTAATCCCCAAAGTGCAGAAGGTATTTATGATGGACATTGTCCCAGAAATCTCCAGGACTGGACATGAGACTTATGTCCATACATAAGAGCCCATCTCATGCCATATGGTCAGGAGTAGATTGGTTGGTGGGATTTATGGGCTCAGATGTTTATTTCATTATACTATTGACTCTAAGCTATTTTTTTGGTTCTTATTAGTCTTTTCAAGGGAATATTTTCATTTTATAGCAACCGATGAACCTGAGAAATGTAAATATGGCTTGACTAGAAAAGAGGTACAACCATTAAGTAAGACTATATGTGATCATAATGAGAAAGTAAGTTATAAATACAGAGGAGCAACAAAGTGGAAACACTCAACATGCATAAATGGGCGATGGAACCCCAAACTAAGCTGCATAGATAAGCTCTTGTTTTCAAAAACTTACTCTATTTCTTCCTAACTTGTAATTTTAGTATTTTTGCGTCTTTTAAAATTTTTTGCTTATGTATCACTACACATAATTTTTCAGCTGGAAGGAAATTCAGAAACTAGCCCAAACACTATTCCTAAGTATTAATTGCATCAGTGCCTTAGTCTGCTATAAAACAAAACCCAGAAACGTGGTGGCCTTAAATTAACATCCAATCAAGTAGCTGTAAGAATTAGCATTTGGGTTTTCTTTGAGGCTGAAGAGAGCACATAGTTGGCATTCCCCTCCTCCCCTTCAAGTTCCCATTCCCGGAGAAGCCTCCAGGTGTGCCGCAAATCTGAAGTCTGTCCCTGGAGCTGACATTCCAGGACAGGTAAATAGGCCTTTGTCACAGCAAGCCTGGGGGTGTGTTTCAGTCCAATGTCTGTGGAGTGCCCTGGAGGTGGTAGCCTGTCATGAATGACCTCCCCAGTGTTACAGTCCTGTGGGACCCAGAAAGGCAAGCCCCTCTGGTGAGGAGAGCCAGGAGATCAAGGAGCGTCCCCTCCGTGGGCTGAGCATGCTTGCCAGCTTTAGGGAGGCAGCGGGAGAAGACAGTGCCGGGGCCCCAGGAGAACCCTGGGCTGGAGTGCACCCACGGATGTTACCAAGGTGGAAAGTGTCAGCATCTCCATGGGGGAAAGAGTCCCAACAGACCCCTGCCCCTCAGGTAGATGCTTTAAGATTAGCAAATGAATCTCCTTCTCATATGCCTAGGTGTTTCTCCAACTCTTCCTTTCAGTGGGTCCCCTGAGGTTCCTGACTCTGGCAACGCCTGGGTGGCTCAGTGGGTTAAGTGACTGCCTTCCAATGTAGTCATGATCTCAAGGTGGGGGTGACTGAGCCCCACATCAGGCTTTCTGCTGAACAGGAAGTCTGCTTCTCCTTCTCCCTCTGCCTGTCTCTCCCTTTGCTTGTGTGCGCTCGTGCTCTCTCTGTCAAATAAATAAATAAAATCTTCCAAAAAAAAAAAAAAATCTCTGTTCTCTGCAGCCCATTGGGTCTCCTGGATGTGAGACCCTTTGGTTTTCGAAGCCAGGTGTTTTGGGAGCTCATCTTGCTTTTGCCAGTTCCAGAGTCTGGAGTGCTGATGTGGGACACAAACCTCTCTCTGCTCAGGGAGAAGCTCTGTGTGGGAGAGCACCTGACTGTGTGTGGCCCTGCCAGGGGTGGGGTTTCTGTCCCTACTGGGTCTCTGACTCTCCTACCCATCTGGAAGTGGCCTTTTCACTGTTTATTGTGAGGGAGCTATTCAGCTAGTTTTCAGAGGAAACTGTTCCATATACACCTGTGAGTGTCTGGGAGGAGTTGAGGTCAGTTTCTTCCTATGCATTTGTCCTCCCACTCGAATCGTGCACATTGATTTTATACTCTGACACTATGCCAGTTGCATTATTCATTTTAGGCACTATTTTGTAGACCTGTTGCAATTTCTGTAAGCAATTATATCACTGAAAATACAAGATTTTATTTTTGCCGGTTCATTTTTATTTACTGACTAGGACCTCTGCTAAACTGTTGAAACGAAGCGATGAGAACATATATCTTTGTCCCATTCCTGATCACTGGGAGAAAGTATTCAACATTTCACCACAAGTATAATGTCAGTTTAGGATTTCTGTAAATGCCCCTTA